TTGTTTAGATGGGAGTCTTGCTCTGTCACCCAGACTGGAATGCAGTGGTGTGAACTTGGCTCACTGCAACCTCCACCTCCTGGGTTAAAGTGATCCTCCTGTCTCAGCCTCCCCAGTAGCTGGGATTACAGGCATGCACCACCATGCCTAGCTATTTTTTAGTAGAGATGGAGTTTCACCATGTTGGCCAGGCTGGTCTTGAGCTGGTAACCTAGTGATCTGCCTACCTTGGCCTCTCAAAGTGCTGGGATTACAGGCATGAACCACTGCACCTGGCCTCTACCTTATAATATTTCTAATATAAATAATATGCTTAGAAATAGCAAAATAGCATCTCCATAATGTGCAGTGTCTCAGCTTCTTACAATTACTATCTTTTACTTTTTTAAACCTTGTTCTTTCTTCTCACGAATGGTTGCATTTCAGCAACTGCCCCAGAGCTGAACTGACCTCTCTCATCTTCCCTAAGATCAGAAGTGGATGTCAAGTTTAGTATTCAATCCTTCTGGGAGAGAGTGTTGAAACACAGACATGGCTTTTTTCACTTTTCTAATTTCTTCCTCAGAGCGAGCTCACCTCTCAACAATAACCTTCAACCCCCGACTGTATACTCTTCTTCCACAACTGACAAGTGACAGGGTCTGTCTCCTCTTCCTCCTTGTATTGTCCACTCATTTCATCTGCTGTTTTTCCCATCCCAACATGCCCAGCCATCACTTTCCCACCATGTCCAAGTCAGGTCTTCTATGCCATCTCCGATTATGAGTCCCCCGTCCCTGATGCCCCTCCGCTCTGGTGAGCCCAGAGATACCAAAAGTGTGTGTTTTATCTAAAGAAGAGGATCAGTCTGTGATCCAGCATCAGCAGAAGAACTGTTTGAAATCCCAGGAAATTCTGAGTTCAGTAAGTGTGTCATAATAGAGTTGGTTTAAACAAAAAGTTTCAAACCATCCTTAAAACGAAATGCACTGAAAGAACTGAACTTCTTCCTGCAGAACCGCACACAGCAAATATTATCACATACACAAAGTATTCACTTCTTTCAAAGGCAGTGAGCAGTGTCTTGATATATAATAAGCGAGTTAAGTATTAAACAGGACATAGTTAGGTAAACCATAAATGTCCATACAAGATAAAGCCATATAGACATTAAAAATATTCACCAAGAGTGATTCTGATATAATGTTAAGTGCATAAAGCAAGACATGAGCATTTGTACAGAATGACCTCAGCTGTGTAAAACTACTCAGGGAAAAGGACTGGAGGGGAATCTGCCAAAATGTTAAGAGTGGCTGTCTCAGACGGTGAGATCGGGAATAACTGTGATTCCATTTTGTTCTTTATACTTGCCCTTTTTCTTTTCTCTTCTTTTCTTTTTCTGAGACAGAGTCTCACTCTGTCTCCTAGGCTGGAGTGCAGTGGCGCAATCCTGGCTCACTTGCAACCTCTGTCTCCCAAGTTCAAGCAATTCTCCTGCCTCAGCCTCCTGAGCAGCTGGGATTTTAGGCACACGCCACCATGCCCAGCTAATTTCTGTATTTTTAGCAGAGACAGGGTTTTACCAGGTTGGCCAGACTCGTCTTGAACTCCTGATCTCAGGTGATCCACCCACCTCGGCCTCCCAAAGTGCTGGGATTACAGCTGTGAACCTTTGTGCCCAGCTGCCCTTTTTCACAATAACTAAAATCAGAAAAATAAAATCAACTTTTAAAAGAAAATAAAATGCAATGTAATGGGTTGAATGGATGCACACAAAGGAAAAAAATCTATGTGGAAGATTTCCCTCAACTTCCCTTCCTTTGAGCAGCTTGTAAGAGACCTGTGAACCTACTAGGCCTGGTCCACAGAAAGGACAGAGCATCCCCATCAGGGAGTGTTGAAAGGGAAGGACACCGCCTGTGTTGTGGAGGTGGGAGGGGAGAAAGAGCTGCCATCTACTCTCCTGGCAACAGGGTCTGTAAAAGGGGAACTTTTCTGTGTATGATACTCTGGGAAGGATCCAAACTGTCTATATGCGAACCATGGGACTCTTTCTAAAACAGACTGCTTGTCCCTGCAGTGCACTTTACGGAATGCACTGAACACACACTTTGCTTCCATGCTTACTGGGGGTGGGTATTAGAGGCATCAGCCATCATCTAGGAAATACAAAGCAGCGCTTAAGTGTCCCTTTGAACCCAGATGGCTGTGACTTCTGAGTTCTTGGGCCTGCCTTAGTCTTCTCTACCTTCTTTCTCCTTGTCAGGCATGCAATTTCAGCTCTCGGTGTGAACTTTCTAGCCTTGTGCCTGGCTCTGCCACCACAACCATCTCCTTTATTCCCGCCCAGGTCTAGTTTGCTGCAGGCTAGATAAACCTAGCAAACACACTTGTTAGAGATTTGCCTACAATAAAAATTAGAGATTTAGAGTAAGGGTTAAGGAGTTGTCCAGAGGCTTTTTTTCTTAGCTAAAATCTATACAATTAAGGTTGGCTGAGTGGGGGGCTTTAGATAAATGAGGTTGTCAGGAATAACTATTTGATATGTTAGTTATGCCGTAACTCTGGTTTCAAAAATAAAGAGAAGGTACTTTATTATTATTACAAAATCTATAACAAATTTTCTAACATCTTAAAAACACAGAAAGCAGGCCAGATGTGGTGGCTCACACCTGTAATCCCAGCACTTTGAGGGGCCAAGGCAAGAGGATCGCTTGAGCCCAGGAGTTCAAGACCAGCCTGGGCAACACGGCAAAGCCTCCTCTCTACAAAAATAACAGAAAACTAGCTGGGTGTGGTGGTGCCTGCCTGTGGACGCAGATACTCAGGAGGCTGAGGTGGGAGGACTGCTTGAGCCCAGGAGGTCAAGGCTACAGTGAGCCATGATAATGCCACTGCACTCCAACCTGGGTGACAGAGCAAGACCCTGTCTCAAAAAAA